GGAATGAACAGATTTTCGCATAGTACGTGACCCTCCCCTCTCTCCTTCAGCAATAATTATCACCTCAACTTGAAACTTCTTTGTAATATCTCATTGTAAAGTATCTCATTGTAGCATTGATATCTCATTGTATCATTTGGCACACAGTTCAAAAATTGATAGCCTAAAAAACGGGCGACAAAAACCCTTTTTTTGCGATCACTCTTTAATCTGCATATTTAGAAAAATAAGTACTCTTATTATTTATATTGTTATTATTTTTGATATTAAAAGCTAATAATTTAAAATAGATAAAGGAGCATAAAAACCAATTCGCAAGATATACATGCAAGTATATATTAAATAATTTCTTCATGAATATACATAACAAATGAAATGATGCGAATGGTTCGACCTTATATTAGGTCATCTTCAATGCTTGTATAATTTTTTTAAAATATAACATTTTTTTAAATATAACAGTAGCTCTGGTATATTCTCAATATAAAAATTAAAAATCAAAGTATAAAAATATAATTAATAAAATATAAGTTTATTTATTTATAAAATTATTCCATTATTATATTTATATAAGCCTGTCAAAGATACAAACAAAAGAATCGATTGAGAGTAATTATGTCGCATCAACAGTTCGCTTTATCTTGCTTCATACTTTTTACATGATATTATTGAACGCAGCATTCCCAAACATTTCAGCTACGAAAAGTAGCTAGTTGAAAAAAATCAGTGGCTTATTTGTTGGTAGGAATCACAAACTGGTATTGGACATGGTATCTATGTTTATCAATGTCCCCAAAGCTTTGAACATTAAAAAAAGATGAAATTTTATCACCACAATTACGGCCATTCCGATAGAAAAATTTATTTTATTTAGCGATTTCACTAATCTTAGACTCAACTTTTATCACATTCAATGGAACAATCTGCAATTTTTGGTACAGCTATGAGCTCACTCCTGTCTCTGATTTTAGCGGATATTGTAATGCAGAACTTTGAGGAGGTTGCACTTGCGTGCATTGACACAATTTTATATCAGATACATAGATGATATCATATTTGCGGCTCCAGACAAATCATTAGAAAAAAATCTTAACAAATTTTTGAGATAAATATATAGTTTAGAGCAGCCCCCTCCCACCAATTTTATTTTGTATCATGAGAGATTAAACTTCACCATGGAGATTGGTGTCGATGACCGCATTAATTCTCGATGTTACCCTGATTATGGAGAATAGTAGCATTATATTTGACTTATAGAAGAAACCCACAAATTCCGAGAGATATCTTAACTTTCATTCAAATCATCCAATTGAACATAAAAGATCGATTATTATAGGTATATTAAATACAATTTTGCTGTTATCACATCCTCGTTTTCACGTCAAAAATATAAAATCGAGACTCTTTCAAATAATGAACACTCATTAATTTTTTTATTTTTTATCATCAACAAACAAATTCACAATCTTTCGAGGAACACAAACAACAATAAAAGAACATACCAAAAAACTTACACTGATGCTAGTAACATAAAAAAATACTTTACAGTTTCGTACATTACATTTCGGAAATTTTAAAAAGTCACTACAAAACATTATTTCTGATTATCTTTTAAACCAATTAACTTCTTAAATAATTTTAAAAAACAAGAAAAGACCGCATAGATGAAAAAGAAAAATGTGGTCTACAGAATCAATTGTCGGAATTGTAATCTACTTACGTAGGAAAGACAAAAAGACAATTGAAGGTTAGAATAAAAAAACATATGACAAACATCAATAATAAAACCACCAATTAATAAAAACCACAAGTTTGCTGTGTCATTTCCTGTCACAGATTAGAATTTAATCATGAATTTCAGTGGGAAGACATAAAAATATTAAATGTAGAATTGTAGATGTTGAATTTACTGTAAAAGATTAGTATCAGAAATATTCTATGTTAAAAAAAGCAAGAATAAGGATTGAACAAGCAAAGATACCGATAAGTTTCCTTCTTCTTCTTTTTCTTCTTCTTCTTCCTTGTTAGCTCCCGCGAATTGATGGCGCTCATGATACGGCCAGTATTCATTGTGATAATAAAAGAGCAAAGTAAGAGAATACTTTCTTTGACGTAGCAAGCACTCTGCTCTCCTTCTCATAGAAGGATGGGAGAGTAAGCGAATCAGATTCATGTATTCACAAATCGGAAAAAAGTAAAATTAGGAGATGACATAATTTTGGAGTAGAATTTTGGAGGCAGGAATAAATGTTATTGTTAACTTCAGAAAAACCTATCTTGGAGATATCCAATGAGACGAACAGAGCGAGCTGGAGCAAGTGATAGGAAAATAAAAAATAAAATGATTGACGTTCTGTCTGGAATCGCCACAAGGGCTGGAAGTCAGAGATTCTTCCGATGAAGTTCGTAATTAAGATTACAATGATTGGATCTAATGCAATTCACAGTCACTATTTGCTCTCTAGTAAGGTAAGATTTTTAAATAACACGGCTTAAGCGAAAAGTTAGAGAAGTATTCCGCAAAGAGACACTCCTTTAGCGCTTGTTTTTCAAGACATCCAGAAGAAAATCACATTGATCTTCGCCTAGCAGGCGACCAAAGAGAAAACTTTAAGATAAAACTAGCTCATCCAAGACAAGGTGAATAGGACGGTCTTGATTCTCCCTCAACATACTGTTCATTCGCAATAGAAGCTAATAAAATAAGCTGAATTTTATTCCAATTTTGATAGGATTAATATGATAATGGAAAATTGTTATAAACTAACTTGTTTTTTAATTATTATATTGAGAATATATTACAGCGCCGTTACATAATTTAAAAAATTTATATAAGCACTGAAGATGACTTAATATAAGACCTAATATAAGCTCAAAACATTTGCGTCATTTTGTATATGTATATTCACGAAGAATATACCTTGCGAATTGGCTTTTACGCTCCTTTATCCATTTTAATTTGACTTTGTTCGGATAACCAATAAATTGTTTATAATTTCATTAATTCATTCAATTTATTTTAAAAAATAAGTCTTTGTTTTTATATATATGTGCGTGCGTGCGTGCGTGCGTGTGTGCGTGTGTGTGTGTGTGTGTGTGTATGTGTATGTGTATGTGTGTGTGTTTGTGTGTACATACATTATCTCCTAGATAACATTTGTAATAATATTAATTTTTAAGTAACAAAAAAAATTAATACCATATTTAAAAAATTTATTTATTTATTTATTAC